TTCTCAACATCAAATTGGAGCCCAATCTATTCCGAATATTTTCGTTTTTTATTCATCTTGATATCTCAATTATTCAAGAAAATACAGAGTTTCAAAGGAAAGGTGGATATTGGTATCAATTTTACACCTCAAAACTCAAATTGGATCTGAAAATGTGTCGTTTCTTGACTAACCTAACCTAACCATGACTAAACCTCTGCCATAGGAGACAGAAGCAGTAAAATCAAATTGTTCATTTTGTTCACCTCGGCGATATAGTCTTTCCCTGCCATCTATTGAATTGGTGCAGATATGCGGCTCTCATATGTTAAAAGAACATTGGCCCACTGGTCATTTTCAATTAATGCTACAGCCCTCGCCACATCAGTAGGAGTCAAATCTCTCACGTTGAATTTTCATTAATCAAATTTATGAATTGTGAATCGCTTGACTTTGACAATAATTAATGACATTAACAAAATAGCCAACGTTGATTAACAAAAACAGCATTTCACCAAAAGAACATTGGAGCAACTTTTATCACCCCTGCATATTCATGAGAGTATTCGTATATGTGTCTTTAAACAGTAAACCGATAGGTGAAACTGTGAACAATTCTCATCTTGGAGTAAAAATCCTCACAGAAACAAGTTGAAAAACGACATGTTCTCCTCAGTTCGAATTTCGAGGTGGTAAAATTAATACCAATATCCACCTCTTCTTTGAAACTCTATATTTTCTTGGATAATTGGGATATCAAGATGAATGAAAAACGAAAATATTCGGAATAGATTGGGCTCCAATTTGGTGTTGAGAAATCGGTTCAATTATCAGTGGTTCACTCCACAGGATGTCTTACAGAATACCGAAAAATCCGTACTTTCTTTACACCCCTGTATATGATATAAAGACGAATCGTTTGGATGTGGTTGTGTCTCAGATGTATTCGTGAAGTATGAAGCTACAATTCGTGAAAAACAAAATTGAATCGAGTGATCGGTTCGAGAGAAAATTGATGTCAAACGTGTAAATTTTACCCGTTCCCCTAATTGTGCCAGTGTGTGTATTTGTAATCATTTTCCTTAAATTCAAAGTGTGGGAGAAGGGTGAATTTGAGAATGCAATAAAATATTTATACAGAGTGTCCCATAAGAAAACGTATAACTTCGATACGCCACGCATTTTTGAGTCACCCTGTTCAACTCGAAATGTTTTTGAAATATGCTGCTCATGAGCCTAGACCATCTCAAACATTTTTGTTTATCTATCTCAAGTAGCGTAGCCAATATCTCACTTTGACACAATATTGGTCCACCCTGTACTATATGGAGTTATCAGTTATTGTCCTTAATTTTTTTTTATATTCACATTTCGTGTTTTCCAGGTTTTTGATTGCTCAACGATAGGTTAGTTAGGCTAGAGAAGATGTTCTCATTTCAAATAGCGAATTCTTCGGTGCTTCGTGGGTATAAATAATTTCTTGCAGAATATTTTTTGGTGCCTTGAGAGTTCCCTTTTGACGCCCTTATGGTGTGCATTACGGGCTAATGGGCTGATCCGGCCCTGAATATAATTTCAGTTACAACAACGGGCGCTGAGTCAAACTGAGTATTTTAACTGTGATTTGTGATATATTATTATTTAAAAATGTTGAATAAATTTAGAAATAAATCAAATTGTTTCAAGATTCTTTTCTGTTATTTCACTAATGGACATGCCCTACTCAGTTTACAGGGTGTTTTCTAAACATTGGTGAGAAATTCGTGTGATGATTTCTGAGGTATTTTTTTCAAAAAAAGGTTCAATAAATATTTGTCTAATACTTCCTGAGGGAGCTACAACCGTTCAAATAGGACGGTCTGAAAACAAGTTTTCCTCAATCAGAAGGGTCGAAACAATTCCATTTTATTATGTTATTTTTTCCACATGCTGATCCCAGAATATAATACCTGAAGTTTTCCACTTATAATTACACGAGAGCCTTTTTTTGGTCTAAGTAAACTTGACATGCATCAATAAGAATTTTGTTGCCTGGCAAATTACGAGTCCGTAGGACGAGTAATTTTTTCTTGCAGGTTTTTTAATTGAATCACCTAATGGCAACAAAATCCGAATCATGAATGCCAAGTTTACTTCGACTAAAAAAAAGCTATAGTGTAATTCGGTACCCTTCATGATAGAGACGAGTGGCTAACCGAACCACACACCCTGATTCCAGACACCGGACTCACCTGGTTCACGGATGGGTCTCGTGCTGGGAATCTCACTGGTGCTGGCGTATACGGGCAGAACCAAGACTACGAAGAGTTTCAACACCTTGGACAATTTGCCACTGTATTCCAGGCTGAGGTTTTCGCCATCCTTGCCTGCACACGACGCCACATAAGAGGCAAGTGCATCTCCATCTGCTTCGACAGTTAGTCCGCTCTCAAAGCTCTACGAGCACCAAGAGTGGTCTCTCGGTTGGTTTTAGATTGCAAACAGAACCTTGCTGGGATAGCAAGGGAAAACCGTATCGAACTACTTTGGGTTCCGGGACATAGTGGGATAGATGGCAACGAAAGACCCGATGCTCTAGCAAGGCAAGGTTCTTCAGCCTGTCCTGTGAGCCCGTCCTGTGGGCCCACAGGACAGGACTGCGAAAACTTGAAGAACTTCTGGCAGAGAGGTTTTGTCGGGAATTTACTGAATCCAGGGGTATGAGGCAGGCGAAGACCTTCATTGATAGGCCTTCGATACGTCTCACCCAATCCCTCCTGAATATGCGAAGAAGCCAATGCAGAGTTGTCACTGGTTTACTAACTGGGCACTGCCGCCTTAACAGACATCTAAACATTGTGGGCATCTCCGATGACCCAACGTGCCGTTTATGTCTCGAAAACGACGAAACTCCCATCCACATCATATGTGAATGTCCTGCGCTAACACAGCTCAGATGGCGGAGTTTCGGACAAACGACTCTTCCAGTGGAAGAAGCGCCAAACATCCCGGCTACCGACATCCTAGCCTTCGGCAGAGCTGCGGGACTCTTGTGAAGGATGCCATACTCACGGGGCGACACAATGGACCCACACTAGCGGTCTAGCTGTCTGGACTTCGACAAGTCCCCCCGAGGCTTACTCAACTCAACTCAATTCGGTAAGACAATTTAATTCATCAACCATTTGTTTATGGCTAGTTGTCATGCTTTCAAAAGTTAGGTTCCGAAATTGTTGCTGGAAAAGTTAGGTCAAATTTTTTTCGCTTTCATAATGACAAAGTGACGCGTCTCGTGGGATTTTTCATACATGAATTAAATTATCACGTGAAAAAATGATTCCTAGTTAATATCAATAGGGCTATATAGTAGTTGAAAAAAACCCTATTCCTACCTCCATCCAACTAATCTTTTATAATACTTCCCCTGTTTTTCTCCAATCAACTCTAAACGATAGCATATCCAGAATCTACAGATGGATTCATTTCATTATGATTGCATAATATGTTGTATGTATCTTCCACTGAACCTTGTCAAAACTAAAACTAAAGTGTACAATGTACATATTCTGAATAATATAATAACGAATTTGGTACCAGTGTGCCGGCGCAGGTCCGGACATACGATCAGTATCGGATTATCCTCAAGGTTCTTTGAACTTTCAGACAGAGGAAGTATACAATCCTTGATTTTGATGATAAGGGAATCCGAGCAACGAGCACGGGCTTCTTTTTTACCGAATAACATAGCAACCGATTTCGTAGGGTTAACGGACAGACAATATTCTTCTGATATCGATATAATGGACTTAAGGTCTGAATTGAGCCTATTATTCGCTTCCAATAGCTCGTTTTCAGGGAATGACATATATATTTGCGTGTCATCAGCATAAAAGTGGCAATTGCTGAATTGAACTTGCTCATGGAATTCGTGTGTATATAAGATAAAAAGCACGGGACCTAAAATTGATCCTTGGGGCACTCCATTCTCCACTACAAGAAATTCAGAGCAGCGCTGATATAATAGTACTGCTTGCATACGATTGAACAAGTGAGCTTGTAGTAAAAGGAACGGCTCCTGCAGAGAATCCAATATAATGAAGAATAGGTAATAATAGTTGGTGTTCAATTCGGTCGAAGGCTTTTGTATAATCGAGCATAACGAGGGCAGTCAAACGTTTGTTCTCCGCACTTGATATGTCATCTGTAACTTTAAGGAGTGCCGTTGCGCAGCTGTGCTGAGATCTAAAACCAGACTGACACCAAGGTATTATAACTATTTTCTTCTAAATGATGCTGTACCTGACAAAAAATTATTCTTTCGAAAGCCTTAGAGAGCGTGCAGAGTATGCTTATAGGCCGAAGACATTTGTAATCATCGGGATTAGGTACTTTGGATGGAAACACGTTTTTATTCAGGCAGTTTTAAGATATGGCAGTGCGAAAGCATGATGATATTAATTTTATCTACTCCAGTGGCCTTCGATTTTTATATCTATGTCACAGAAGTAGGAGAGATTGTTTACGGAAGGGTATTATTAGAAAAAAAGTTGATTGAATCAAGGCCAGGAGAAAGATAACTGTCGGAGGAGTTGACGAAATAATCGTTAATTTCATGTTCATGTTGTGGGCAAGGGCGTAGCCAGGATTACTTTCAGGTTAGGTGCAACTGCATACACACTATACTATCAACTAATAAAATATCAATATCAATTATAAATAATTATATACCTGTGTATTATTGAGATTATCTTTATTACCCCAAGAAACATTATTTTTTATAATAGGGACATATACAACAAAAAATAAATAACATAATAAATCAGAACAATAATGATAATTGCACAATTATTGATGTTTTCATAAAAAAAATTGAATATGAAATGAAAATACTATAATCCATTCCAAGTGATGAAATCGTGATTGATTAGTAGATATGATGGAATGAAGAAACGAATTTTGACAGCGATTTCACGAGAAAAAGCAAACCCGTAACTATATTCACCGACCAATACAGAGTTAGGAAGGTAATCAACATTATAAACACATATATAGGTATCGTTATATTATTCAACCAACTATTTTATAAATAAAGTGATAAATGCATTATAAATATAACATAAAATATAATTTTAAGTATGTGGGATGGGTTTTTTGTGCTTCAAGTACAATTTTGCGTATTCCTACGCGATGAAGTTCACTTGGAATTCAAAATTATATCATAGTCAGGCATACCAGCTCTGTAAGACTGCAAATACTTTACGTGAAAATCAGAATCCAACAAACTCTTCTTAACGGTGGTTTCTTCGGTCATACGATTGCGCCATTCCATCTGGAAATAAAGGAGAGATATGGAATATTTATTTACCTAACAAGTGCGGAAAGTAGTACGACCCCAGACAGCACCAGATATTCCATGAATATTCATAGAATATTCTTTCTGGATATTGCGAATTTTCATGAACATGCCAGGGATATACATATCATCTATGGAATATTCCCTGAATGTGCTGGTGGGGAAAATTTTATATATTCCCGGAATATTACACAAAGAATATTCCTTATATATTCAGAATGTACCTATAATATTCTAGGAATATTCAGATAATATTAGGAATAATACAGGAATATAAATAAATGAATATTCCGAGAATATTCCTTAATACATATTCATAATTAAAAAAAGCTGACCCAAGATGGGCTCGAACTCGGGACTTTCAGACTGTCAGATCAACGTCTTAACCACTAGGCCAGTAATCGAGTTGAATAATACTGTACATAACAATTCATTGTATTGCGTTGTTCAGAAGCGGATCATAAACACTTTCAGTTCCATATGGGCTCTTAACATGTACGATGATCTTTGAGTACTTTGATCACTACCTATCAAAATTGTGGAGACGACTTTGTGTTTTTGATCCCTGATGGTAATATAACCACTTTACTTTGAAATACGATGGACTTCTACCACAGATTTCAAAATCAATGACACATCTATAAAATAGTGATTGGTTAATTTCCATACTTTACAATTTCATTGAAACACATGGGAATATTATTGGAATATTCCATGAATATACAGGAACAGAATATTCAGTTGGGAATATTCCTGGAATATCCATATTTGAATATTCCCAGCACTATCCAATTGGAATATTCTAGGAATATTCACTTTAGAATATTCCTTTTGGAATATTCCTCGTATATTCATTTTGGAATATTACTAGAATATTCACATCTGAATATTCCTTGAATGTTCCAGAGGCACGTATATATTCTAAGAATATTCGAAGGATATTCGGAATATATTCTTCTCTTTTGGCATATTTAGAGAATATTCTAGGAATATCCAGTGCTGTCTGGGACATTTCCGCACGCGACGGCAGTTGCACGAACGACGCGGAGCGGAAAAGACATTTTCCGCAAGTAGGTATAGGTACACAGTTCCTACGAGTGTTTTTTTCCATATTATTTATGAAAAAAAAGGAAGTTTTTAATAAACAATATTTTATAATGATGCTACCAAATGACACATAAGACAGATATCATTTAGTTAGTCCTAAATATCCTTATTTTCAACAATAGTAATCACTTCAGGTCGATGAATTTAGTTGATTTTCCGACCGATAACGAAGATATTTTTCGAAGGATGTCTGAATATTTTTCGCAAAGTGTTTTTGATAATTAACATATTTAACATATGGTATATATATTCTTGTTTGATGAAAGATTGACTGGAAATTATTCCAGATCGATGAATTTAGTTGATTTTCCGATCGATAACGAATATATTTTCCGAAGAGTGATTGAATATTTTTCGAAAAGTTTTTTTGATAATTAACATATGGTATATTCTTGTTTGATAAAAGATTAAATGATAATCACTTCAGTTCCATGAATTTAGTTGATTTTTCAATCGATCACGAAGAAATAATAATTTTCCGAAAAGTATGTTAGGTTATTGTTTTTGTTTTTTTCCTTGATTCTCATATGGTATCTATATTTTTGTTTGATGAAGGATTGAATGGTAATCATTTCAGGTCGTTTAATCAAATTGATTTTTCAATTTTTCGATCGATAACTAGATGAAGGCCCGTTACCCTGCCCAGCTGAACTCCCCCATTTTTTTATGTTCTGGTTCTCACGAAAAGGGATATCCTGTAATGTTTAGAGAACATCGTGAGAACCAAGGGAAATAAGGTAGGAATTGGTGTTCTTAAATTTCTGGAGGTTATATGCCTCAGGGAACACCTCCCTTGGCAATGTGTTCCAGAGCCTCGCTGTTCGTTGGATAAACGAATCTTTGGAAAGAGATGTTCTGCTGGTCTCCAAAGTGACCACGAAGGGTGCGAACCCTCAACTCGCCGGGTTAATCTCGCGGGGACTGCCAAGGGAGGAACAATTGTTTATATTTCAGAAGAGCATCGTCCATGAAAATATCTATAAAATGAAGCCAGATCGTCAACTTTTCTACGGTGTTCCAGAGAAGTGAGTGAGTTTGTGATCGAGGCATCACCCACGAGACGAATTGCCCTTTTTTGGACAGAATCCAACAGTTCCAGGGGTGCTGCTTTCCAAATATGGGAACAGTTTTCCAGGACAGGTCGGATCTGTGCCTTATAGATCATAAGCAGCTGACTGGAAGTGAAATAGCTCCTGGCACGAAACAGAAAACCAAGTTTCTGGGATGCACTTTTAGCAATTGATCTCACGTGATTTTCCCAAGACAGGTAATTGCTGATAGTAATAGGTACCAAGCATCGAAATGGATGTCTTCAAAAGTATGATAACTCCTGACAATCTTATGTTGGGCACAGTGAGATCGGCTTTTCTAGAGAAAAGGCATGTTGTTTGCATTGAAATCTACCGAGTTATTGGATCCCCATTCGAGAATTGTTGCCAAATCCATATTTATATTGTCAACATTTCTTCCTTGTTCGTTTCTAATTTGCCTGGCTGGTATTGATGGAGCCATGGAAGAGAAGGCGGTATGGAGGGTACTATGGTGTACTGGACATGAAGTTGCTTCCAACAAATCGTTGATATGGAGTAGAAATAGTGTTGGTGCTAGAATTGATACTTGCGAGACACCGGCATTTATGATGAGAGAGTGAGATGAAACTCCGTCGACCACTACATGGAGAGACCTGTTTGAGAGAAAACTAGCTAGCAGAGAACATAGCTGGGGAGGTAAGCCATAAGATGAAAGCTTGGCGTGGAGTCCGTGGTGCCAGACTCGATCGAATGCTTTGGAGATATCAAGTGCCACGGCTAGGGTTTCACCATATTTTTCAATAGATTGCTGCCATATATGTGAGACGTGCCCAGCCATCAATGGTTTTCCCGTCAAAACTCCTTAGCCATCAATGGTTTCCCGCCTCAACGCCCAGCCAATAGAGGTGTTTCCCGCCACCCCCAGGGGTTATTGGCGTGGCTTTAAAAGGTCAAAATGTACTGTACCCAAGTGCACTATTATCTACTTATGTGAATATTGGCGATGGTTTTTCAATAAGCTGTTCTGCCTGTCTCATTCCTGGCGAGTTCTTCCGCCATTCTTAGGGTTTGCTTTGCATCCATGATTTGATACTTGTTTTTTGTATAACTTTCGCAATATCACGAAAGGGTTCTGGGCCATTCAGAGCTTTGTTTGCTCCTGCTCGGGCAAGTGAGTCTGCTTCTTCATTGCCCTCGTACCTAGTTACCGCTCTTATTACTTCTGCCTCCACTTCGTCACTACCTTCGATGGGATTGACAAAAGATCTATGATTTTTCCAATCTAGCGAATATTTGGGCGCTAGGCTGCTGGCGCTCAGGGTATTTTTGGAAATATACAGGGTGTTGCGAAATTCGACCGACAACGCTTGACAGGTGATAGCCCTCGTAATTTCATAATCTCTGATATAGGGGACATAAGGTCTTCAAGTGTTCAGTTCTCGAGATACAGGGCGTTGAAGTTGAGAAATTAAAATAGTTTTTTCGCATCCCTAGAAAAATTGAATATAATGCATTCAAATTCCGTATATGGTTTCATCTTTCAATGTTTCATTTTTTGACCAGGAAGACATTCTGGACATTTTATCCAGTAGTGCCCTACAGGGGGTTGTGGTAACTTTTCTTCCCATATTTTCTATAGCAGTGATGTTTAAATTTCGATTATTTTCAATTCCTCGAATTCATTGTTCAATTTGTTCAAAAAATGCATCACCTTCAACTGAGCTGAAATGAACAGTTTTCGAGATATTCGACCCAAAATAGAAGAATATTTCATCATTTTCAGTAGTAGAAATTGCAAAAATATTGTTCTGGTGTTGAGTAGATCAGATACTATTCAAATCTCATTCTATAGCTAAACAGAAATAGTAGTTACACGCATAAAAAAGAAACCTACATTTTTGTAATTATCTACTACTGAGGAAGATGAAAAAGTACTATATATGCAAACTTCTATTTTGGGTCGAATATCTTGATAACTGTTCATTTTAGCTCAGTTAAAAGTGATGCATATTTTCAACATAATTGAACAATAATCAATTCGAGGTATTGGAAATAAACAAAATTTCATCAGTGGCGTAGAAAATATGGGAGGAAAAGTTATCACAACCCCCTGTAGCGCACCTCTGGATGAAATTCTCGGAATGTCTACCTGGTCAAAAAATGAACCATTGAAAGATGAAACCATATACGGAATTTGAATGCATTATATTGAATTTTTCGTGAGATATTGCTAAAAAACGTTTTTAATTTCTCAACTTCAACGCCCTGTATCTCGAGAACTGAACACTTGAAGACCGTATGTCCCTATCTCAGTGATCATGAAATCACGAGGGCTATCACCTGTCAAGCGTTGTCGGTCGAATTTCGCAACACCCTGTAGATTTCTTACAGCTTCAGCATTTCGGCCTGATTCTATGAATAAACATCTGGCAGTTTTCATACATTGGCATACAGGGTATGTCACGACGAGCTTACACTTTCTCTATATCGAAAATCAGTCGGGAGAACTCCATGGAAATATGCCTGCTTATAGTTTAGAATTCGCTCTTTTCTTTCAAAATATTTTCAGCAATGCAGTGTTGCCACTCCTATAAAAAAATAGCAACAACTTTGTTATTTCAAATGGAATACTCTGTATTTTATTGCATTTTCAGATTCTCCCTGAAGAGCTGATTTCATCGATATATCACACTTGGAGTCTATCGGAAATGATTACAGAGATATAGGGTGTTGAAAATCGAGATTTTTCAACTTTAGGATTTGTTGGTGTCGAAACTATTTATTATCGGCCAGAACGGCTCACATGTCCCTATCTCAACTTTTGATTGACTATTTAGTGATAATTAATCGGAACAGATACAGGGTGATCAGAATTCTGAATCTTGAACCACCCTGTATCTGTTCCTATTAAATATCAGTAAATAGTGAATCAAAAGTTGAGATTAGGACATGTGAGCCGTTTTCACCGATAATGAATAGTTTCGATACAAAAAATCCTAAAGTTGAAAAATCTCGATTTTCAACACCCTATATCTCTGTAATATTTTCCGATAGACCCCAAGTGTGATACATCGATGAAATCAGCTCTTCAGGGAGAACCTAAAAATGCGATAAAATACAGGGTGTTCCATTTGAAATATAAACTTTACTTTCTACTAGAAGCGGCAACACTGCATTGTCGAAAATATTTCAAATGAAGAGAGCGTATTCTAAAATATATACATGCAGATTTTCATGTATTTCTCCCGACTGATTCTCCATATAAAGATAGTGTAAACTCGTCCTGACATACCCTGTATACTGGTTATTTGAGTGTGCATCATATGGGAATCTTTTTAATGAATTCCACAACCAAAATACAGATAGTGCCGAAAGTTGGTGCATGTTCGGTAATCATTTAAGGTGCACTTAGAATGATTGCAAGTCCAACAGCGTACAGGGTAGGTCAAAAAATATAAAATATTATCAAGAGTAAAGTACCCTTATTTCAGAAAACTCAGTAAAATGTTATTGAGAAAACTTGTGAACAATTGAAACTTATGCCTGATTACCAGAATATGGCCTCTTAAGACATTTTCAATTTCTAAATTTTTTTCGTTAATAACCTCCCAATTTGTAACTTTTTTAAATTTACCCCAAACACTTGCATAAGTTAATCATAACCAAATCAGTTGAGCATACCTTTGTTCAAATTCAAACACATTTGTGTTTTGTAATTTTTTTAGGAAATCATAAACTTTATGTTTGTTGCAACTACACGACATTCAGCTCAACTTTAAAATTTCGCAAACCATATTTTTAACAAGATAAAACATCATAAGACGAGAAGTTAATGTCACCAAACTGTCTTAATGTTTACTGTCAACCCTCATTTGGTTTGTACCTTGGGTATCCGTGATTATTTTGAAAGACATCATGCGGTTGTCGATTAATTTGTACAGCTTTTTCATAAACATTTCAAATACGAAATGTTCACATTGAATGAATGTTTACGAATATGCATATTATCATTAATGATGTTTTACAATGTTAAAAATATGGTTTGCGAAATTTTAAAGTTAAGCTGAATATCGTTGCAACAAACATAAAGTTTGTGATTCCCTAAAAAAATTAAAATACAAGTTAGTTGCAAAAATATGTTTGAATTTGAATAAAGGTATAATCAACTCATTTTACTTGGTTCTTTGGGATTTTCTCTCATCGAAAAAAATAACAAATTGAAAAATTATTATAATTATTATTATTATATAATTAAAAAAAATTTAAAAACTAAAAAATTTCTAAGGAGGCCATGTTCTGTTATTTAGGCATAACTTTCAATTGTCTCTCAATAACATTTTGCTGAATTTTCTGAAATAAGGGTACTTCACTCTTGAGCAATTTTTATATTTTTTCACCTACCCTGTAGGTTGTTGGACCACCAACAACCATTCTAAGTGCACCTAAAATGATCACCGAACATGCACCAACTTTCGGCACTATCTCTATATTTTGGTTGTGCAATTCATTAAAAAGATTCCCATATGTAGCACATTTAAATGATCACAATGTATACACCGTGTCCCAGCTAAACTGTCCCCCCCTGTAAAAAATAAACCGCGCGATCGAATGACTTGAAATTCGGTCACCCAGTATATTTGATGATGCTCACTCGAAATATGCTATTGAATAAATCCAAGGTATACAGGGTCACATCGAACTGCACCTAAACTTTTCTATTTGAATAGGGACACCCTGTATATTATTCCATATTCAAGTAGAGTTCATTATTACAAATTCAACAATGCCCGGTTTGATGGAATTTTTTCAAACGAATACGAAGATATGACAAAAAATAAAACGATTCAATAAAAAAATTATATGATTAGATTTTATTAATATAACACGATTGAAATCGAATGAAAAGAAAATAATTTGAACCTCAACTGCTCAATATGTCGTCCATTCTGCTGCAAACATTTCCTAGCTCTTTTGATAACGTTCATCATTGTGACCCTATGTATCACGTTGCGATCAATTTGTGCGCATAAATTTGTGATTTTCTCTTTCTTTTCTTCCATATTCACAATTGGCGACTCATAAACCTGTTGTTTCAAGTAGCCCCACAAATAAAAATCAAGTGGGGTGAGGTCTGGCGACCGAGCTGGCCAGTTGCTATCACCATCGAGACAATTATTGGTGGGTATTAGATTTCAACTATTTTCTTTTCATTCGATTTCAATCGTGTTATATTGAAAAAATCCCATCAAACCCAGCATTGTTGAATTTGTAATAATGAACTCTACTTGAATATGGAATAATATACTGGGTGTCCCTAATCAAATAAGAAAGTTGAGGTGCACTTCGGTGTGACCCTGTATACCTACGATTTATTCAATAGCATATTTCGAGTGAGCATCATCAAATATACTGGGTGACCAAATTTCAAGTCATTCTATCGCGCGGTTGATTTTTTACAGGGGGGGACATTTTAGCTGGGACACGGTGTATATTTTTTCTTTGAAGAGAGCCTATTTTTTCAGGTTTTCTAGAGTCAAAGCCAACCATGGTTTCGATTTGAAATAAATAACAAAGTTGGCTTGATATCAAACAATAATTGATATGTGATATATTATTTTGGCAGATGTATCGCATTCTACATTGAAAAGTGCCTGCAGAGAGTTTTTTCCTTTCAGAAAAATATATTAGAGATATCGAAATGCGGTTTTCACCAATCGACGTTTCACAAAAATCGAGTTCTACACCTTTTCCAGATGTATTTCAGAAAGCGTCAATTCAATTTCAGAAAGCATCAATTGTATTTCAGAATAGTCAATTGTATTTCAGAAAGCATCAATTGTATTTCAGAATTGTCAATTCAATTTCAGAAAGCGTCAATTGTATTTCAGAATAGTCAATTCAATTTCAGAAAGCATCAATTGTATTTCAGAATAGTCAATTTAATTTCAGAAAAGGTCAATTGCATTTCAGAATAGTCACTTGTATTTCAGAAAGAGTCAATTGTATTTCAGAAAATATCATTTGAATTTCAGAAAGCGTCAATTGAATTTCAGAAAGCGTCAATTGAATTTCAGAATGCATCAAGATCGATTAGTTAGTAGGAAGTGCACTCCATGTAAGAATGCATAGGATGTTCTGTGCTTCCTGTAGTGATGTTTTCATTTTATTCACCCAAAAAATTTTTTATGTACCTTTTAGGTACCTATATACTATTTGATGAACAGATCACAGAATTTCAGGTATAGACGGGACAATCAGAGATAAACTTCTTTCTATTGCTATAAAAAAGTTCTGATTTTTACATGTTTGTCCAATCGGAAGTGACTAGCTGTTTGAATGATACTGTAGAATAGGCTCCTTAAGAACATTTACAAAATCAAGCTCTGTTGCTATGTCGTAAATGTCATAATATTCTCACGACTTATGAAGTTGCCTGGCAGGAGAACACCCCGTGAAAAGTGTCTGGCAATTGTATATTCTCTATCATGATAGGATCCGATTGAACATAAAAGATCAGCTTTTGTTGAAATGATGTTTATCCAGTTTTTTTTGTACTTTCAACACCCGGTATCTCTTGAAAGCTCATCCAGTACTGAAGATTTTCAACCCACAAAACGATTCCACCGAATAAGATATACCACACATAGAAAATATCAACCTTGTTGAAATGGCGTCTGGCGGTCGCTGGCTTTCAGTCTATAGAGAAAGATTTCTGAAATTCAATTGACGCTTTCTGAAATTCAAATGATACTTTCTGAAATACAATTGACACTTTCTGAACTTCAATTGACTATTCTGAAATACAATTGATGCTTTCTGAAATCGAATTGATTATTCTGAAATACAATTGACGCTTTCTGAAATTGAATTGACTATTCTGAAATACAATTGATGCTTTCTGAAATACAAGTGACTATTCTGAAATTCATATGACGGTTTCTGAAATTGAATTGACTATTCTGAAATACAATTGACGCTTTCTGAAATACAAGTGACTATTCCGAAATTAAATTGACGCTTTCTGAAATACATCTGGAAAAGGTGTAGACCCCTTGGTCAGTTTTTCTCTAGCTGTTCTGGAAATATGAAAAAATGAAGGTCGAAATAATACCTACCAGTTTCTTGTATTTATCCCGCCGCAGCAAATGCTGGTTGCCGAAGAGCTTCAGTATGTCAGCCCTTTCGCACCAGGGCCAAATCATGAAATCCAGCATGCCAGGCTTGTTTCCCGCGAAGAAAGGTCCACTGCGTTCGGAGAGCTCCCTTTCAAACTTCGAAAGTCCACTGGAGATGGCCTCGTCGTCGTCCAAACCTATCCGACCTACGTGCATCATCACCCTGTACATCGTACTGATGATCTGAGAATAAATAAACAGATAGCGATGAGTCATGAAATGATGAGAGTAGGTACATAATATTGCAATTGCAATTCATGACATCATTGGGGTTTTTGAAATCTTGAAAAAAATGATAGAGGATTCTGATAATATGCTGCTGGAAAACTCATCCAGTTGATTTACTATGCTAATACAGGCACCTTGTGCTCAAAAGGGTTCCTAGCGGGAAAGTTTTGGGGTAGTTCTGATTTTTTCATTCCGTACGTTTTTCGGTGTGCTGAAACCGAATCTGAGGTTTGCTAACAAAATTTCGTGACGGGACATTGAAAAAATCCAAAAAAAGGTGAAAAATATGATGTTTTGGTGTTTTTTTGCTCATAACTCTGAAACTATCGACTTTTTTTGAAATAACTTTGTATCAAAAATTGTCGTTGATAAAGTTTCCTACAAATTCCTTCCAATAGTTTTTTTTGTTCGATGAACCGTTCGGGCTCTAGCGCTATGTGAAAGTTGGCGTATTTAGACAAAAACCCATGTTTTCACTCCAAAATTGTTATTCATTATGAAAGGAAATGCATATACTGGTTTCAACTTTCATGATAACTCGAGTACAAAACAGAAGGTATTTTCAAAATTATATAGCACTCATATTTTGTTCAAATATAAACCTATAAGTCTTTATTTTATACACCGACTTCACAGGCGGACTTGATGAAGTGATACAAAATATGTCATCGACGGAGGCTTTTTGTTACACCGGGTCAAATGGCAACACGGTCAGACGTATGCAGACATTTTCAGCAGTTATGTATCTTATGTTGAGTCAAACTACAAAACAAATGCCGTTGTGATTTTTGATGTATACTCTGACGAAGCCTGTGAAAGCACAAAACGTATAGAACGATTGAGAAGGACGCAAAGAAAACATTCCGCTGCAATATCGTTCACGAAATCGTTGATTGATATATTACGCTTACGCTGGGAAGATGCCCAACCTTATGGGGCAAAACGAGGTCCAAAAAAATCTCACAACTAGATGGCGTGCCATAGTTCGAAATCTCACATAGTGGCGGCGATAGTGTCGAACGATGTCGGAGCAATACTTCGTAATTTGACTGGCAGGTGCGCCACTTACGAAGAGAATCTATTGGAATGCAGATGGCGTGCGACTTGGAACAATTAAACAATCCATAATCCAGAACGCTTGTATCTCTGAGGCTTGTATCGAATCCACCATCAATCAGTACGATTCTAACTAATATGGCGGTAAATTCGAATTTGTTAGTAATAATTGTACTGGTGTGCTTTTAACGAGCGCATCACGGACGTGAGATCATGAAAAAAGTTTATAGAAATCGAATTGGAGAGAATCAGCGAAACACAAAATTTAATGTCTCAACAATAAATGCTTCCATTTTTGGCGATTGTGGAATAAACTGGTCAGCGGATATCAATATATAAGCTGCTCATAAATTTGATTGAAATTCACGAACCCGGACGATGTTGTAACCTTAGTGTATTTTACCCTAGAACTGAATCTAAATGGGTCTGTTTGAGTGAAATTTCATATTTCATTATGTCGAATAACTAAATCAAACTATAATTCACTGTCGCAAATCATCTTCTTGTCAGAGCTATGTCCAATTTTTGAATTTTTTATTATTGAAATTACTGATATTTATCACATGAAAAACGCGGAACATTGCGTGACAATTCTCTATACCGCTATCAATTCAAAGTATTTTATACTGGTATATGATCCGACCTATGTATTGCCGAAACTTGGAGTGCCAATAATTTCCTTTGACTTTTGTGGGGCGGCCGACTAGGTGCGTTTGTCGGCGATAGGGCTGATGCCAAGCCGTCGTTTGTCGCCCTAACAACACAAGTACATCCTCCCAGGGACGTCCCTAATTTTATACAAGGACTTCCCAGAGATATCCTTTGTCGGGACAGAGTACATACTAGGGACGTCCCAGAGAAATCAGCTGGCTGACAAAAAAAGCATCCAAGGGATTTCCGTCTGGTACGTCCCTGGGATGTACCAAGTACGAAGAAAGGATATCCCTAGGAGGTCCCCAGGATATTCCAGGGACATCCCTTCGACAAAAGAAAAAAAATGTAGGTTGAGTAGGGTTTGAACCCGCCAACCCGGGACCTTTAGCTTCAGGCACGCACCTTACCCCATTGGCTGATATGCCTTCTGAAGATTTATATACCAAACATCGATTTTTAAACAGAACTAAACTGCAGAAACCTGAATAAATACAACTTTGTTTGGGTATAATTATTATCATTCGTGGATGTTTAAAAATGAGGGGCATTATGCATTTACGATTTCTGTTTGCGAAAAATGGTAATTTCTTGAGGAGTTCTGAGACAATTTTCTTTATTTTCATTACAATTATTTACCGGAAAAAAATCAAACATTTTCATAAAAATTCAACTCAATATTTTGATGAAAGTCAATGACTCTGATGTGAATAGATATCAGATATTCCAGGGACACGAATAGGATAACCTATGGATGTACCGGGCCGGGACCGGGCCGGATGTCCACTGGACAACCACTGCGGGACATCCCCTGAATACCCCAATTATGTCCTTGTACCGTGTGACAAAAAGGGCACGTACATTCGTTAATCTATGGTACGTACCTAGAACATCCCTGTGTTGTAGGGGCGGAGATTCTGAGCGTTCCGTAGTCTGTACTCCGTTGTTCTGGAGCGGCAGAATCGATTCTACTCAGAAAAAGTTACTGGTAATCACAAAATATCAACGCCGATTTCATGATTTTATATCGTGGCATATAGACTGGAAATGTAGCTGCATATAGACTGGAAATGTAGCTGTTTTCTGATGATTTTGTTTTTATCTCTTCAAATATACCAAAAAGAATTAATATTTTTCAACAACTAGATACTGTAAAAAATGGTTCATAAGCTTGCAGCTTAACTCTTGTAATACAATAAATAAATGAATTCTATATATATGTTCCAATAGTTATGACTCACTCTGTATATTATGCCTATTATAGATGATGTATTTTATTTCATTTTTATAGTGAACCATTAACAATCAAAGATTCAAAGATATCTGACTATTTATTTTCTATCTACTGATGAGACTCTAAGAAATTATCACATTCAGATTGATTATATTATCAATATTTTGTAATGTGTTATTGATACAAATTTTTAATATGGATACAAATTGAGTGAAAAAAATAATCAACGAAAAAGGCGTGAGATGTTTTTCCAGATATACATATATATATTGGTCTAGGCAAAGTATGACAAGTTTATTCACAAGGGAATTTTAAAAACGCCACGGAGTAGGAACCCAACTGAGTGAGAGATCATAATATGTTCTTCTCTCTTCCGCAAGGAACCGAGGGAAAAAATCAATACTCGCAACCCGTTGTTATTGTTGAGGAATGCGGAATCCCCATATACGTCCATGGGATTCACCGACCGTAGCAATCATTTTTTCATCGGAACCGGTCGGGCGCGTCGGTTCTCATCGTAGAAGACAAGGATAAACAAAAATTTCTGGAGCGATAGCACGCGGTGGGATGGGATCTGTAATTCTGTACAAAAGTGTAGTAATCTGTACAATTAGTTCAGACATGTTCTGTGTGCCTAGTGGAGTCGCTACCTCACAGTGGCTAAACGATAGGCGAGGGGATGAGCGGGGCATCGACTCGCAAATAACACAGGTTGGGCATCTTCCCAGCGTAAGCGTAATATATCAATCAACGACGAAATCTATGGTGCCCACTGTCTCGCAGGAGAGTTTCCTTGCAAACTCCAAAAACATGAGTCGGTTGATATCCATGTTAAAGGAACAACTTGATGGTTATGCCAAAATTGTTTCAAAACAAGCTGTGGAGGATGCTGATGTCCTAATCATCAAAACAGGTCTTTCGTTGGCTTCATCGAATGAATCTGTGACCGTGGTGGGGGAAGATATCGACCTTTTGGTAATTTTGATGGGCCTTTGCAGTCCTGATATAGAGAATGTGTTCTTTCTGAAACCAGGGAAAGGAAAGGTGTCTCAAACTCTTTACAAACCCCATCTTGCCGCTGATAAAATAATATCAAATGATATTTTGTTCCTGCATGCGATGAGTGGTTGTGATACTACTTCTGCTTTGTTTAATCAGGGTGAACTCGAAGTTCTCAAAGTTCTGCAGAGGAATGATGATCTTCAACCTGTTATTGGAATTTTCAAAGATCCTCTCGCAAGCCAGGACGATATTGCTGAAGCAGGAAACAAGTTTCTTATGGCTCTTTTATGGAAAACGACAAAGGTTCATATAAAAGTAATATAAATATTGCATCACTACCCCCACCGAAGCTGCTGCACGGGAACATTCACTGAGAGTTTTTATTAAGTGCAGCAGTGGTTATATGACCAAACCATACTAAACGAACAACAAAAAGACCCCAACCAATGGGGGTGAAAAAAAAACAAGAAGTGATCTCGTGCCAGTAACAACCATTCTGAATCCTGCACCTGAATCCATACTACGGCACATTTCTTGCAAAAAAATCATTGAACAAAATTTGTAGCAAATTTTATAAACTTCAATTCAATATGGAAGGGTTATACGAGAAAAGTTGATATTTCCAGAGTTATGAGCAAACAACACAAAAATGATGACAGCTTCACCCGTCAGTCAGATATACATAAGTATAACACGAGACATGCTAATCATATTCAAACACCACGGTATAGATTAGTAAAATCCCAAAAAAATTCTATGAATATTCAATTATACAATGCACTACCGACCACAATAAAATCTACGGGAAATCGTAAGTTTAAATCAATAATGAAAAAATATTTCCTGCAAAAATGTTTTTATTCCATCGAAGCATATTTGCAAACAATTTGTGATGACATGAGTTTTTTTTTTCTTTTGAAATCTCTGAGTTCTGATAGCTCCTGTTTTTGATTGTTAGTCTTTGAAATTATATACCTATTTAATGTTATGCTTTCAAAATTTGGTGTGTCTATATACTATATACTCAATTTTATTTATACTTGTAAATGTTTGGAGGTATTTAGCTTATCTTGACTTGCTACCAATATATGTTATATATATAATGTAGTTAAATAAAGCTCTATCTATCTAACACCAAAACATCATATTTTTCACTTTTTTGGATTTTTTTCAATGTTCCGTCACGAAATTTTGTTGGCAAACCTCAGATTCGGTTTCAGCACACCGGAAAACGGGTACAATGAAAAAATCAAAACTACCCCAAAACTTTCCTGGTGAAAATACAATTTAACTGGATTATACAGGGTGTCAGATTGAACAGAAAGTAGAGAGAAACTGAATCTAACAGTCATAACATATCACAGCTGAACTGTGTCCTATCACTCTTATCCATAGGCCACCCCTGTCACTGCATTCGTAAACGAATTTTTTTGAAATTTGGTAAAGTTAATATACAGGCTGACTGGCAAAAAACGCCCCAAGCCATAAGCGACGCTATGTCTATCTGATTTTGATAAATGAAAGCAAAATAAATGACCTATTAGATACTACAAGGTGACACTGACAATTTTTTTCCAATTTCCACTGTGTAATGGAACGCCCTGTAGAAGAGCATAGGCTAGATATTCAGCAGATATACAGGGTGTCCCAAGTAGCTTGCCTAACTTCACCAGCGGCTTCTACGAACAAAAATAGGAAGAAAAGTTTCAATGAACAGAGCTACGGATCCATGAAAGGGGGCTCCTGAAGATGATATTTCTTGAATATTTCCGAAACGCCACGTGATAAAATGATGCAATTTGGTACAAGAATTAAACTTTCCATGCCCAATGCGGTGAACATGAAACCATTCCAAAGTTTCATTTAGGAGTGTGCATATTTTTCGAAAAATTAATCTCGGATTATGAAAATCCACACCGTTTCACAAAAGAAGGTGCTCCCCATAGTTCAGATGTATCATTTTCGATTGAAATCGATTTAAAAATATTGATACACTCACATCTTATGCATAACTACTTTGTTTTCACCATATCTCATATTTATACACAAAATTTTGAGCAAAATTTAATGTAGTCCCACCATGTATTATACACTCCTGAGTGAAATTTTGAAATGATTTTATTTTCACTGCATTGGGCATGAAAGGTTCAGATCTTGTAGCAAATCAAATCTTTCTATCACATGGAAATACTCAAGAAATATCCCACCCTTTCAGGGCGATGAAGTTTGGCAAGCTAATTTTGACACAACGCTGTACTGACTTTTTAAAGAGAGCCTAAATTTTTAGAAAGAATCTCATCCGAAAAACGAACACAAAGATTGCATTTGTTGATAATGGCCAGGAATGGACGAACTGGACCTAATCTGATGAAATTGGACAATAATGGACATAAACTGGAAAACTGGACAAGGGTAAACGGAATGATCATCAAGATTGGTCGGGATTGGGCGGACTGCTTTAGATTGGCGCCGAATTAAAATATCATATTCATTGGCAACAGTTTGGATTGGAGAGAATAGACCAAGATTGTTGATATTGACCCAGAATATTGTATAAGGATTGGACCTAGAATAAACGGAATGGGCCAAGATTTGGACTTATTTAACTGGGATTTCCTGGATCAGATCGAGATTTGTTGATATTGTACGGAAGTGGACCTAATGAAAATGGAAAATAATTAATAGATATAAACTGGACATAATTGACTTGACTGCTTGAGATTGGATAGCCTGCTTCAAATTCGTAATTGGCGCAGAATTAAAATAGCTTTCATTCCCAACAGGTAGGATTGTCAGAATGGACCAAGATTGGACATATTACTGTCCCAGGATTACTCAAAGAATGGATGGATTGGACCTATATAGAATAGACGAAATGGACCGAAATTGTACTCATTCCACTAGAATTGTCAAATCTGACCTGACCGAGATTGGGAGTATTATGTAACCATATATTATCTTGAACAAAGTATATGACCCCTCGATATGGCAAATAAACTGTTTTCCAACAATACCAAATACCAAGATGTTCTGCGGGCAAATACGCAAGCGTTGAAAGCGTATCAGGTGATTCATATGGTGGCCAATGAGAAATCTTCGAAAGATTTAGCAGAGATTACTGGCTTCTCTCATTTTTTAAATTCAGGAATCCGTCCATAATTATACGTATTATTAATGACAAAACCTTTTCAATATTATTTTAAAATTGTACAAATCTCAATAATGACATGAAATTAAATAATTTACCCGATTGAATTGTTCGATCAGCATTCGATCTTTTGCTTTTTGTAAGGGATCCTTCGGATGCAACTGATGCTGGTGGTAACGCTCGTCCAAGTAATCGACTATTATCAGACTTTCACATAATATATCTCCGGTTTCTGTTTCTAAGGCTGGTATTTTCCCCTGAGGGACTCTATCGTACAACCAGTCTGGTTTATTCGATAGATTAATGTTGACTACATCGTATCTGAAAACAAGAAATGATTCAATCATTGTTTCATAACGGTTATTCGTTATTTAGGAATGAACAAAATTAAAAAAAAAGATTGCCGAAACCAGGGATCGAACCAGGGACCTTTAGATCTTCAGTCTAACGCTCTCCCAACTGAGCTATTTCGGCCAATGAAAATAATTCACCAGGTGTTTCTATTGTACATAACATAAATACCGAGTGATTATGAGAAACTGGCCACCCCACTAATTTCTGAGTTGTTTTGAATGAAATGTTGAAATTTTGAAGTAGATTGTATTCATGTTCACCAAAATGCATCAGAACAAGTTTGACAATCGATATTATTGTTAAATAAGTATAGGGATATGAGTTACAAGTATTATACAGGGTGAACGTGAGGTTTTTAATTTAACAGGGTATATATATCTCGCCAAAATAAGTTGTTTACCCAAAAATTGTTCATGTAAAAAATGTAAGATAACGGAGGTACATTAAAAATCTAATTTTATTAATCTAAGATTCATTAGAAAAAATATGATGAAAAATCATTTCTAAATGAAAATTATTAATATGTTGAAAATGTAAAAGAAGGTTTTTGATTAATTTTTCTGATGAACTGTATAGGGTATCTAATGCTGGACTAATATCGGCTTTGCGTTTTTTTTTTGAGAAAATGTGAACAAAATGTTTCAGTCTTCTTCAAATCTTTAAATACCTCTACTTCACTTCATATTTTACAAGAGCAATTTTTGCCAAACAACTTATTTTGGTGAGATATATATCCAGTTAAAAATAAAACCTCACTTCAGATTCACCCTGTATACAGGGTGGGCTACCGGTAACGCCCCGGTCTCTAGAAGGGTAACCACTCATCTTCTTGGAATTCTTCCTCTCTAGGAAGTTGCATGTCAACATAGGCTACCATTTGAAATTATTTTGAAACATACAGGATGTCCCCAAAAATCACAAAACACTGAAGTTGAACTTTTTTCAATCGAACACCCTATATATTATTTCATTTTGAGATTCTCCCTGGTGAGCTGATTTCAACAATCCATCATACTTGGGGTCTAGCAGTTATAATTACTGAGATATAGGGTGTGAGAAATCGAGATTTTCCAAGTTCAAGAATTTTTTGTGTCTAAACCATTCATAATTGGTCAAAACGGCTCACATGTCCCTATCTCAACTTTTGATCAACTATCTACTGACATTTAATTGAAACAAATACAGGGTGGTGCAGAATTCAGAATCTCGATCACCCGGTATATGTCCCAATTAAATATCAGTAGATAGTTAATCAAAAGTTGAGATAGGGACATGTAAGCCGTTTTGACCAATTATGAATAGTTTCGACACAAAAAATTCTTGAACTTGGAAAATCTCGATTTTTCACACCCTATAGGTATTTCAGTAATTATAACTGCTAGACCCCAAGTATGATGGGTCGTTGAAATCAGCTCATCAGGGAGAATCTCAAAATGAAATAATATATAGGGTGTTCGATAGAAAAAAGTTTAACTTCAGTGTTTTATGGTTTTTGGGGACACCCTGTATGTTTCGAAATAATTTTAAATGGTAGCCTATGTTGACATGCAACTTCCTAGAGATGAAGAATTCCAAGAAGATAAGTGGTTAGCCTTCTAGAGACCGAGGCGTTACTGGTGGCCCACCCTGTATGTATATAGGTCAGTGCATGTATACATATACTCACGATAATTTTTTCGAATCCAATACCAAGATTACTCTTTGAGAGTATGGACAAAATCGGTTGCTATATAATCGTAGTTTGCCATGTTTTGGCGGAGGAGGCGGTTTGGAACCTGAAAACAAAAAAAAATCAGTTATTTCAAAACTTCCTTCGATTTGTCATTAGTTTTCGACTGAACATCATTAATAATACTCTATACAGGTATACATGGTATACCCCCTTTTTCTCTTTGTTTTGCTAGCTATACAGGGTGAGTCATAACTATTGGGACATAGGCTGTTAAGGGCGTATTGTTTGGACCAAAATATGGTAATAGGACTAAATATGCCTTTATAGAATATTGCTGTGGAAAAAGATACAGGGCACTGTATATTCATCAATTGTTATCAAAATTGGCACAGAGGCATGATGATTCCATACAGGAAATATTATTTTATGTACTTTTCTACATTTTGGTACAGGGGGCGCCACGTGAATGATTCCTGATGAATCGCCTGGTTACTTCTTTTGACGAAACTTTTGAGTGATTTTGATTGAAAAATATGATCTAAACATCATTTCTACGTAATATTGGTACTCTTGTTTGAACACGATATTTTCATTCGTTTTCGAGAAAAACGCTGTTGAACAGTTCAGAGTCTCAGAAGTTAATTACAAATATTATTTCATTCATGAAGAGTGTGCTTTGAACTGTCAGATAATGTTGCTGGTAATGGCATTTCTTGTCAAAAAATGAATTTTTGTGCGAGTTTATAGTCAAATTATTTTCGATTGAAATGTCTCGTCACAATCATTTTATGAATGAATAAATGCGGGATGCGACCAGAAGGTATGAATTGTAATATTTCTAATATCTAGACAGAAAGCAACCAAATCACAAAACTTTTTCAAATATATTTCATATACAGTGGAATTATTAGCAAAAAACCGACAAAAAACGAAAAAAATTACCTTAAATGCCCTGTATCTCTTTTCACAGCAATATTTTATCAAGGCATGTTTGGCTCAATCGTCATATTTTGGTCCAAACAATCCGCCCTTATATAGCCTATGTCCCAATAGTTATGACTCACCCTGTATATTTCTGATATTTGGAACAGTATGGGGCACTTTCTCACATTTGAGAAATTTTTGTCATCTTCCGTTTATGCTGGAAATGACATCAACTTTTGATTTTCAAATAGAACACCCTGTATTTCATTCCACAATAGGTTAGAGATTATTATGACGAATTCAACTATACCGGTTTGATTCGACTAGTTCGAACGATTACTAATAAAGTAAAGTAAAGTAAAATTTATTGATTTTGAAAGATCACTGTAAATTGGATATAAAACACATCATACGTTACACATAGTCAATTGATTCAAATTTAAAATTAACGATTATGGAATAGTGTATTTTATGTAAAAGAAAATATATATTATCTTAGACTTAAGATGTCTATCTATGCGTGGCATGAAATTGTTCGGTACCTACTAATCCTACTATATACAAAAACATTTTTGAAAACAGAAAAGTTTTGAATTGTCAGTAATCATTGGAGATGGGTCCACTGAGAGTTAAATTTAAATTATTTCTAGGTGTTTTTAGATGGTGGTTGAGTCTCGTTGAATAAATGTGATCATTAATATGTAACCCGATATTTCTAGAATATACAGGCAAAGAGATGAAGTATTTTCATTTTGACAAATGATGGCCCATACATGATTCTCTCTGACTTTTATTTAATAGTGTTCTAAGTCATTTTTTTGCACTATATATCTATTGTGTGTACCGTTTGAAGCATTATGTAGGTAGGATTATTGCGGAAGCCAGCATGCCCATGTGTAGGTTTCAGACATTTCTAGGAAATGAGCCAAAATCGTTCTGTTAATTGTCAGAATTAATTTTTGACTGACGTTTCTAGAACCACAGTTGCAATATCAAAAATGTTTGTCATGATGACAGCACGTTGAAGTAGAATGACAGATGAGTGCAATAAAAACTTCATTTTATTGCACTAAGTGCAATGAAGAACTTCTTTTTCCACTAAATATAGTTCAATACAGTTCTGCTTTTTGCATGAATGTAGAAAAAAATACTTCTTCTTCATTTGGTGTTTTCACTTTATTACTATTGCACCATTCAATAAATCTCGTGTAGTGCTTCTCAGACTTCGTTAGCAATAGCAATTCCACTAAATCGAAAATGACAGTAACGCTCTGTCTGTCACTCTGAGAATTACACTAACTAATTTGTGTTTTGATTGACATGACAACACTTGTTTTCCATATCCAAATTTACTAAATACTGTGACAAAAATACCTAAAATTTTCATATTGTGTCACCCACCAGGCCACCAACGAGCCCACCACTCATATTTTGCGAGAATATTATACAGTATGATGCAAATGTATGGAATAAATTCATTTCAAAACAAGACGACTTTCAAAAAAAAACCAAAAACTAGAGTTTAGAACTTTTTTTCGACGTATTTTTTTAACTAGACAACCCTTCGATGTTCAATTCTCAGTAGCAGACCTCTGCAAGATTCAATTAATCACATGATAATCCATTTTAATTTCAATCTTCTTATGCAACATTTTGACTGTTGAATGGACGATCGGTAGACCTTTCAATCAATGTGTCACATGACCCCTATTTGTATTTGAAAAAATCGTCCATTACGTCTTTACTCCAACACCGGTGACGTAACATCTCTCATATGAATATCATGAGATGAGGCTTCAGAAATTAAAACACGTGTTTTTGGAATTTTTTCAAATGTCGCCCATTTCTGAAATAATGAATTTATTCCATACATTTGCATCATACTGTATAAATGTTTTCCCCGCACTAGTGTGGGAAAACCGAGAATAAAACTTTTCCCGCACTACTGCGGGAAAATTACTCTTCCCAAACTAAATTGCGTGCGGGTATAGGGTGAATCGCGCACGCTTGTAGAAAATAGTATATTGTGCAACAAGTGGGAAAAGTTCAACTTTTCTCACGAGTGCGAAAGTTTTTGGCACGAGCCTGAACGGCGAGTGATGCAAACGCACGAGTGAGAAAAGTGCTTTTCCCCACATGTTGCACACTATACTTTTTCTACAACTGCACCTATTCAAAGAATCCGAGTGATGTAACTGATTGTTATTCATTTTATAATGTGGCACTATGCCACATTGAATATTGTGACCAAAGAGTAGACGCCTTTCTTAGTTCCTCAAAGTATTTAAAAAAAGTACTTTCCGAAAAAAAAAATTATTTCAGTATTTTTTTAGATTCCATAAATTGTTCGTACCAATATGCCAATTCATTCTTTTTTCTTGAAATTTCCGGAAACAAATCCAACTTTCGCAGCTTTTTCCATTATCTCTGTCTCTGGCGGTGTATTTATCAAAATCGTCACATCTTGGTATATACATCATATTATTTATTATGAATTGTTGGAACAATATTTGATGGAAAATGCGATTTCTATCAAAAGCACTAATGAGAACTACCCTAAAGAATTTTAAAAACTTCTTCTGACAGTTGTGACAACAATTCAAAGCTGAACAGCAGCCAAGTTTTGATCGATTTTTGTTGATTCTCCATGGAAATGTATGTGGTGTTGGCAAAGTGCCGCGAGAATAGTTGTTTGTTTAACTAGGCAGCAAAGAAGTAGATTGACTGCCGCAACTGATAGTGCATAGCCGAGCGGAGCGGAAAAAAATATTTCTCACAGTATGGGCAATACATGGTTTTGAAAGTAAGTAAGCTATGAGAAATGCGCTACTTTTCATAGCAGTAGTAGAAAAAATATTTTTCCTACAAGCGTGCGCAAAGTAGTACGTTTCCGCAATCATTTTCGTGCGCAAAGTAATACTTTTCCGCACTCAGTCGTGTGCGGATATGGGTGTTCTCTGCACGGCGTCAAAGTTCTGCAACTGTAAAGTGCACACCCTTTATAGTACGGTTAGTCTCGGGTTAATACTATACCTATTACTCTCAAGCTAGTACACCTATTTGGTTTATCGATTCAAGTGGGTTACAATAATAAACGAGATCATAAATTAATTCCACTCTTGTCCAATCTCTATAAATAATTCGGGTCGATTCTGTTCGCACATTGCTATAAACCTTGCTGTTCAAGTCATATTGCTATCCTCCTAACTCATAACAATATCGTTATAGCATTACCTATTCTGTTCCTACTGTTATAGCAAGGTTGGTTATAAATTTCCTTCCAGCAATATTGTTATCAAGAACTTCAATAATCGGTGAATTCAGAGCTGACAACACTGTATTTCATGACTTTTGTGTGAAAAAGAAGAAGTTAACCTTACTTTCATTTTTCTGTCAATGTTTTTTACTTTTGTATTTTGTCCTACTGTTTTAATGAAATATGTCTGTGAGGAATAAAAAAACTAATAAAGCACAGATGGAAATGATTGTGAACTTTTTGGAACAAAATAGAGTACTAGTAACTGGAAAAACGCATCCCTTGAATCCCAGTGAGCTTGATGATAAGTGGGAAGAATTAACACTATTATTGAATACTGTTGAAAATGGGGCCCGAAAAAAAAACAATGGAAAACCGTAAGTACCTATACAATTCAGTACAATATTGCACATTTTTATATAGGTATCATTTGTACTCATGTACCTACTTAGCTATCAAATTTTTCTTTTTTCAGTACTTATATGAATGGAAATCAAAAACTAAGAAGAAAGCTCGCTTGAATTATAATTCTATCAGGCAGACAGGTGGTGGTGGATATATTTGCACGGACTTAGGTGATCTTGAAAATCGGCTTATGGTCTGGTAACATCCATGGCCAAAGAATAAAAGACTTGCAAATACCTAGAAATGTATATACTGGGAATGATACCAATATAAATGATCGAAAACGTTACTTGAAGGTGGAATGGGATGGTATCTCTTCTTGTTGGTTCATCAACAAATGCTGATAGTTCATCTATCAAGTTCAGTGCTGCAGTCTTATTCAAAAGAAACAGTTTTTGAAATTTTTCATTAGATAGTTCAAATGGGTTGCTGGCATCAGGTATATTTCGAAAATGTATTCTGTGCATTTCTCTGAAATTGAATAAATAATCATTGATGCGAATATTTCTCCATGAAAA